ACCCATCTCCAAGCATCCCCACAGACCCTGTGTCCTCTGTCCTGGGGAAGCAGGCCCTGGAGCTACTCAGCAGCCCAGCCCAGGGGAGCCCCGGGGAGCTGGAGAGGGGCTGGGACGCTGGAGTCCAGCCTGCTACCCAGTGAGAAGCAGAGTTGGCTTTTTCTTGCATTCCTGCACCTGGTTTCAGAGGAGGCCCTGAGGGCTGGGAGAGCTGACTCGGCTCTTCTGTTCCCACTTAAAGGCAGCCACTTCTCACCCTTCCCCCTCGCTCAGAGTCTCTGTCCCGGCCCTGCCTGCTCCCACCCCGAGGGCCCTGGTGCCCCCATCCCAGCTCCTCCATCCCCTCTTCTCTCCTGGCCAGGGGTCCCCTCCCCCTGTAATCTGACCATCCAGTCAACACTGCCCCTGGCAGCTGCTGCCCCAGTGCCCTGCTGACTCTCTCCCTCGCACACGATGCCCCCCCCCCGGCTGCCCACCCATTCCCCCACCTGCACTGTCCCTTCTCTGTGGTCACGCTCCCGGCCTGCCCTCTCCATCCCCTGGGCTGAAGGTGGGGCCCCCTCCCACTGTCCCCACCATCACCTGAGTCCAGCCACTGCGGCCCTGGGCTGCAACCCGTCTGCCGATTGTCACGGGCAGCTCTGCTGACTCTAGAACCTTCCGACACTCTAGGCTCCGGGGTCCCTTCATCCCCTTCATTTCCTGGGTCCAGCTGAGAAGATGCCAGTCTCCTGACCACCCTCGGCCCCACAAGCTGTAAGCGGCTCTGTGGTCACCGGGCCTGCTTTCGTCCACAGCCTCATCCTGACCCCCAGCCGCCTGCCGTGAGCCTCAGGAAGCTCCAAGCAAGCAGGGCATTCCCGTTTTCCATGGACACGTGGAACTCCTAATAAGCACGTAAATCTCTAAATAAGACGTTTCTGCCAGTGCTTTCATCCTTCGGGGCACAACCCTCGCCTGTCCTTCTCTCTGGCTCCACACGGGCCCTGGCCAGCTGCGGCTGGGTGTCCGCTGCCGTGCGGTGCCATCACAGCCCCGCAGACCAGTCTGTGTGGTGCCAATCGAGGTATGGACTCCATCTGGGGGTCTCTGTCTCCGCTGGGCTCCGGCACACAGTAACAGTGGGTGGGCCAGTTTGGCGGTTGTCCACAGCCTCAAAAAGTGCTCTCTCTCTAAAGAAGGTGACTGCCCAGCAGAAGAGAGCCATCAGGCAAATCCTGCTGGGGGAGAAGTGGCGACAGGCCTTACCCATCTCACCCAGGAGGGCCTGCTTAGAGGCTCTGGCCAGAGGGGGGTAGGCCCAACGTGGAGCTTGTGCCCACTGCGCACCATTCTGCTCGCCCAGCCAGCCCCCACCCCAGTTCCCACTAGTGGGTGCTGGGCCACACCTCAGCTCCTGGGAAGCTGGGAAGATATTAACATACGCTTGCTCTCCAAAGAGGTAACCACTGGCCACAGAGAGCCACTCCCAATTAAAATGAAATCTCATTGAGAAACGAGATGCATTCTCAGTAGCCACGTTTCAGGTGGCTCCTGTGGCTAGCGGCCACACACCGGAGGGTGCAGACTCAGACGACAGCACAAACCCACCTAAAGCCGGGGTGGGGTGCTGCCCAGGGAGCAGTGGGGCTCTTGTGGACATGTCACTGCAGCCAGCCGGCGGCAGGGCTGAGGACAACCGCACCTTCTTCACGGAGGGAGCGACAAGGCCGATGCACTGCCACTGTCGACGTCGTGGAAAATCAAAGGCGTCAGTCCAAAGGGGAGACACGCTCCTAGGGCCCCGGAGCCACCTCATCTCAGCTGAGGAGTCAGAGGGGGAGGGGGAG